TTTTACACCTCTTGACCTTTGACCTCTGACCCCCCAGCTTCGACATCCCAACTCGTTTTGACGGTCCCCCACCCCCGATGTGCCAAATATCGTGACCGTACGTCGAGCGGTTAAGATTTGTGCCCAACTGTTGACGGACGGACGGACGATCATGCGATTCTACAAGCTGCATCTGACTATGTCAGATGAGCTAAAAAGTAATGCAATGGAAGTCAGTTACAGTTTATGATTTGCCTTGAGTATAGTTATAAAAGTAGTTATAGATTTACCTTCTAAGTTTGCTGTTGCCTTTCTGAGTTCTTCCTCACAAGTAGGTATAGATTCTTTAGCTTTCTTTAGCAGCCTCTTCAAAAAATCTCCTGTGTTCAAATAAATTTAATTTGAAAAGCAATTTTTAATTATTATAGCTGCTAGGTAGTACATAAACGTATTATACGTAGAGAAACATAAACATATACAGAATTTAGGTTTATTGACAAAAACATTAGATACCTGTACGTGCTACATCATTATACACAGACATATTTTTGGTTTATAATCTAACATTAAAAGGAAGATATATATAACCTAAACGGAATGCAATAGTAATACAAGGTTAATACCATGTAAATACATATTACCTTGCTGTGATCGTAGCTTCTCTCCGAAATGGAGTAGTGCATCATCTAAAAGGAGGTTTCGGTGACTAGGGGTCATTTCTTTCGTGATGTTACTGAAGCGCCTAAGGAAAGACCAAAGCCTTTCCACACCTTCGCCGTCAGTAAGGCCCATGCCCTCAATCCTCCTTGGGTTGTACTGAACCTATTTTAATAAAGGTAAGATATTAATTGTTGTGTCTCTGAAATACTTAATTAGTTTAAAAATGTTTGTAGCAAGAATGCATTTGTGTTTTTTGTCATAAGCATTATGATTAAAATGATCGTTTATTTCAACAATATCAGCCTAGATGAAGACTTATTTTATAATATAACACATTCATGTAGCTGGTAAGCTACTTCGCTATACCTACATTCAAAAATTGATACAGCTATTATAAGAATTTCTCACTATGTTATGTACAGATCTACAACAATAACACGAAACGTTTCTTAAATTCATTTTGTGATTTACACGTAACATGCAAATACCTGACAAGCTACGTTGTGTCCATACATGTGGAATATCGGCACAGCAAATGTGACATTCTCGTTCGGTAATGTAGACAACTATCACAAAGAAAAAGAATTAACATCATTTTTGTGTAAATTAAATGCTTAAATACTCAAAAAAGCATAGACAGTAAAGCATACAATAATGGTAACATGTTAATATGATACATTTGGAGTATTTAAGCATTTAATTTACACAAAAATAGTTCTAGCGCAATGTCTCTTACAAACGTTATTCAATAACAGCACAATAAGCATGAATATATTGCAACACATAACATGCAATGTCTAGGGGAAAATGTAATACAATAACCTCAATGTGGTTCTCCAAAACACATGCTATGTCATATAAGAGAATAACTTTCTGTGGTCCTGCCTCCATGCATAGATGTTTCGCCAAAAATTCAGGGTAGGCTAGTCTGCAACAGGGTAAGAGTAATAAGGATATATTTTTATATATAGTAAAATCCAGAGTTATCAAGGAATAATAGGTGCTATTCTTATAATTATCAAAACCAACATGGTCAAAATTAATTCCCTGTAAATATATTTGGAAAAAAGCCAACCTTTCTCCGTGTCTAAGGTTGAAGAACGCCTTTGGATAATCATGGCGACACACAGATCCAAAGACTCCAGTTACATCAAGTTTTTCAAACCTTGAGCGACTTCTTAGAGGATTTCCGGCTTGGAAATCACTGCATATCTATAGAAAATTAAGAATTGTATACATTAAACATCAAATTAATTTATAATTGATGCGAACATTTAGAAATGCCACAAGTATCTGTTTTTGACATAATTGATTATAGCATGATACTGTTATTGTAATTGTTTAGGTAAATAACAATGCACTGACATACAGAAACCTTTAATGGAAATTAAGCATGGATAAACATTAAAACATAGGAAGAACTCACCCCGTGTTTGCTTGTGGTATCTTTTTGAGCATTATTTACATATTGATCAACTTGTGTTTGATCAACGAAAAACCTTGTCGATTTCCCGCAATCAGATAGGTCTTTCTCAGCTTCCAGGTCTTCCCCAGCTTTCTTTCTTCTAACAAGTCCGAAATTTCCATCCATGGAAAATATTGCTGTTCCAGAATCCTAATTAAAATGGAGATCATCTGTATAATTCATGATATCACATGACAACAAAATCAAAATATCATGCATGGTTAATGTCTATTACAAGAAATTACTGTAAAGAGGTATTCAGGATACCAACATGCATACAAATTAGTTAACCAAATACCTTTGGGCATAAGCTACAGGTTGTACCATTATCATAACCATCGCCAGACGGGTAATTAAGGCTTTTCCAAAACACCCTGTACTCCTCGAAACATCCTCCTTGCAACGTTTTATATGCATCATCAACCTGAAATTATATATACATAATTTTATTACTTTGATAATTGTATAACTTTGCTTTTCTACTTAAGTAACATTGCTTCACACAGTTGTACCTATTTTACCAATTGTTTACCCTCCCAAACAGATTACATAACAACATGTAGGATTTTAGTTAAGTAATGCTGCTGGTACCTACATCACTCAGTGCCAAAGGATGAGCTTTATTCCTAATTTTCATGGCCATGCAGAATGATCGGACTGAAACCTGACATTCCAACACAAGTAACCTCAGGTTTTCCATAAGATTAAATGTGAATGCCACTTGGGGATTCTTTGGGGTTGCAGGCCACAGGTGGTACCTTATCAAAGTAACTGCTACAGGCTCGCATGAGCAAACAGAAACTTGCACTTGATGCTGCACACCTAAAGATAGAAAAGTATTGCTGCTATAGTGACAAATGTTTAATAGATGTTTTCTGAACACTGGCTGACAGTAGTGTATATATATGCTACTTCATGATACATTGGACGATGTTGTACTGTTCACCTTGCTATAACATTATTTTTAAATAAACTAAACAACTTGTTGAAGTCACTTTAAATTAAATTTCTTCTTTCCCCGAAGTGGCATAAATCAGTGAAGTGGTGCAAGATTTTGACGTCGGAACAAATCTATTTCAAAAATAAGCATTTGTGACAGGAAATTTTACCATTTTCATCTAGTACTGCTATGATGCGCCACAATCTTGTTTCGCACGCATGACCATCCTCTCGCTCCCACTGTTGAATGGTAGGGAATTCATATCGCACCATCAGTCCTTCCTGCAAGTATGTTAATTTCTTAATTTAATTAAAATAAAATATTAACAGGACTTTTTAATAAATATTGCTTATAGATGGATAGTTTTTATTCAAAGTGCAATTATGCAATCAATTTTAAAAGTAAACTAAATGTTTAAAAATTATAGCATCAAGTGAGCATTGATTCTACCATACTCATATACAACGTGACTGATAAATAGGGGGAACAGAAAGTTACTTGTTACAAAATTTATTGCCAACACAAATTGAAGTTTGATATAAATAACTATGGTGATACTGTAACATGCAAATTGCTTTGATCATCATATATACCTTCCATATGGAGGGTGTATGCAATGTATGCTGTCCGTGGGCTACCAACACACATTTCATGCAGTAATAGCTACTGTAGCTACAGTCAGGACAGTAAATAATGTTGACTTCCTCTGTCTGGCACATGCAGCAAATGAGTGTTGCTGGCGCTTGACCCTCCAAGTGCGTTAGTTTAAGGTCGTCTCTAATTTCTTTCCATGATTGGTCTCTCCTGCGCCTACTTTCCATATACTTGTTCAGTACTGGTTGCTCTGCAAAAATTTTATTGATAATTTACATATTATAAGACTTCTTTCTGTTACCATTTAATAGTAATTGTGCAGTTAAAAGTAATATACCTTCACAATAATTACTGGATGCAACTCCTTCATCGGCATCACTTCCCACATCTGTAGAACAGGAGTGAGGTAAGGCTTGCGATGGCTTTACAAATTGCTGACCAATACATGGTGTTGCCTTAAGGTTGACAAGTCTTCCTCTTCTGCTGCCAGCAGTATAGACGCGAACAGTATGCTTGAGAGGTTTCGACAACTTTGGCATTATCACCTGTTTGAAAAAAAAAGAACAATTTTATTTTAGTACAGCGGAAGACTTGTGTAAAAGCAATTTATTTTCTTACATCAATTCAGTGTATATAATTAACTGTCACATAATCTCCTAGTCCAATCACCCATGTGGTACATTTGATAGAGAGTACATAATAGAGATCTCTCCTATTATCTACTCTTGATTTGATTAATAATTGATCCATGAAAAACATTTAACAGTAGCTTAAGTACTCTCTATCTCTATCTCTCTCTCTCTCTCTCTCGAGTAGCTATGATCTATGGTGACTCCAGGGGCGACTCTCTAGCATGGTGTTGCTACGGCTGAGAGGGTCTATGTCCCCCAGGGTACTGCCGAAACGTACCTTGCGTATGGTCCGGTATACCGGAACGTACCCTGGTACTATCTAATATGCCGGACCGTACCTCGCCTACTAATCCACTAACAAGTCTAGGGAGTCGCCTACGCCTACTCCCTAACCGTAACCCTATAACCAAAACCCGAACCCTAACCCGAACCCTAAGTTAACCATATCAAATAGTGACCAGGGTACGTTCCGGTATAGCGAACCGTACCAAGGGTACGTTCCGGCAATACCCTGGGAGACATAGACCCTATGAGCGTTGCTACGCGATATCTGATTCTAAGCACGAGAACTCTAGCCTCTATAGGCTCTAGCTGCGAGGGGCCTATTAGTAATAGTATTAATTACTGAATTAGTACTGTACTGTACTGTACTATCATTCACAGGACAGGAAGCTCTCCAGCCTGATTTAACCATGTGTGGGCATAACATGACTACCTGGTGCAGCGAACTTTCCGCTGAACCATAGCGGGTCGCATAGCATGCCACTAATCAAACTATTATTTCCATGTACATAAAGAAAGTTAAATAATTTATTAATTTAAATTATTAACTGTTATAGCTTGCAGGTTATTGACCCGTCATTGACTGCTGTTTTTTTCAAATAGGATGGTGACAACAATACCACAACAGGTGAGACATCGCAGTCATCAGCTCCGCCATCAGCGCCACCTGCTCCGCCATTAGCAACACTACAGTCCAATACATAATCTAAATGTCTTCCAAGAGCTGGTTTGGTAACAGAGGGTGACAAGACCAAATATAACGTATGTATATTTTCACAAAAATTTTACATTTCTCATCACAAAAATAGTGATTTCTACTTTGATTGTTAACATTTATTCTTCATTATAAGGGGAAATAATTGTTGGATTGTACACAAATTTCTGGGATTTTGCAACCCTATGCAAATTAATAAGTAAAATATATTGACATAGGCTAAGAGTCTGGGACTCTCCTTCATACACCTCATTTACTGTTAATTTTACCCATATCAGTGGGTATGCTCCCCCCTACTACATGGAATACCAGTTAAGGAACCTTGGAATACCGGTACTAGGTTTGTCCCCTTTAACCGGTAGGCATATTCCGTAAAAAAATCCTTAATACTCTGTGCACTGATACATGTAATTACCAACCGGTATTCCGGTACACCAGTATGCCAGTACGCACAGTTCTGTTTTCCACCCGCAAAATACTAAACCGTATATTTCAGATTCTTAACTGGTACAGTCAAATCCTTTTAATTTGTATCTGCTTAACTCATATTTGTCAGTCCCATTGTGCTGAGTCAATTACTCACTTAATTCAAATTTTCACTTAGTCAAATTCGCTTAATCTCTGGGGACCATCAGAAATTGTATGAAATGTATTCCACTCATATAAAATTTACTTGTTTAAAAAAATGTTAATTTATAGATGATTGACCTAGGAGGGCAGGTGTGCATTCACCAATACCAACTGAACAAGCTGGACTTCACCAACCCAGCAGCGGCCATAAGGGGGTTAATGAATGCTGTATTTACTGTCGAGGAAATGTCGACTCTATGCTGGCCCAGAAAACAAGCCTTGGCAACAGGTGTTAGAATGCTGGATACAGTATTATTAGACACCATCGTTGGTAAGCAAAATGAACACATATTGGTATGCATTCTTTTAAAATCAAGTGTAAACAGGTAACATTACCGAAGAAAACATTGACTTTCTAACAGCAGATTTCACTGAGGTTGTTACATTACTTAGTTGGAGCCTTAGATTGCAAGCTGCTAACTTCCTGTTCTGACAATCTTCCCCTAGTAGACTCCTCTCAAGTCGGATTCATTTATAGGACCAATCATATTAATCTGACTTGGACAATGAAATTAAAAGGAAATAACTGGAAATCGGACCAGATTTTCTGTCTGACTTGGGCAAAAATCTGACTTGTGAAGAGTCTACTGTATTACCATAATTTTCATTTTGTCTCTTCAGGCTGTTTATGCAAAGCAGCAAAAAGACGAAAAGATGACAGCAGCACAGATCAAAAGAATTGCTGAAAAAAAATCAGTTCCATAAAATCGAAAAAATAATAATAATGTTGCCGCTACATGTAAACATTGTAAATAAATGCATATAAATGTATATAAATGCATATATTGTATGTAATGTATTTTCTTGATAATTTCTGACTGTGGAATCCAGTGAACTGGAAGAGAAGAACAAGCTGAGGTAATTGATTCACCAGGTATTCAAGTTGATCACATGTGGTTTGAATACATATTTCGCCACTGGTATTCAAAATACAGGTGACGTTGATCACGTGTGGTTTGAATAGACCATAGACCAAAATTGCAGATTGTCGTATATTAAGTTGAGACTGGTTTAGAACGGTTTTTTCTGCTGACGCTTGAACTGAAGTCGACTGTGCGAGTAGAAATTGTGCAAAATTGAAAGGATTTGGCTTGATATTGCCAGTAAAGGTATGAAACTTGTAATATTTTAAGGGTGTAATCTGTTACTGACCGCGGGTGCCTGTTGAGTAATTATTTAGCCTTCCGTGTATATTGGTGGTAATTTTACGGTGTTTTTCTCTTGTTTATTGTGTTCTATTACTGAACTTTCGTGTCATTTGCAGTGACCGTTTGGAAAACGGTATCAATGTATCAACTGTTTCTCTGGCTCAGATGTTAGAAGACGTTGATGTAATCTGATACAGAAAAAAACAAGCGCGTTCAACTTCCCGTGATCATTCAAGACAACAATTCCTTACACACATGTTATATCGTCTAAATTCTTAACTTACAAATTTTACCTTCGATGTTTTCAGAGTGTCAAAGGACTGCAGGACATTTGACTGCCGATACGGTTGCACGCCAGTCAGATGGTGGGTGTAGGAAAATTGCTCGGTCCATTTTTTGAAAAACAGGTGTCCAATTTTTCACGAACTATAGCTCACACTAGCAGAGCTACAGACAGGCTGAATGACATCACAGAATTTGTGTCATTATTAATGGGCGAAGACTTGTTTATTTCTAAGGCTGGACGAAAACACATTCAAATCATTTCCAAACATGCAGTCAACGATATTCGGCAACTCTAGGGTAGAGGCATTCAAACATAGATTATTTACACCCAGGAGAGAGATTGCAGAGCAACGGTAAATTGTCATTTTAATGCAAAAAGAATGAAAGAAGTTTTGGAACGAACATAAATATATTTCGAGGATAGAAAGTCCAGTAAAGGGTTTTTATGCGCAGTTGCAAGTGCACGTCTTCTCACACACAATGCAACATGAGCATTTTGCGCAAAAGCAAGTTTCTTTACAGTCACCTTTACAGTTTCCTCAAATGTTTAGTACATCCATTTGTGCAATGCTAATGCCATCTAACATTAATGCTTCTAATACTAAAACTCTTATGCAAGAAGTTAAGCTGCTTATCTTGATGAAATTTTGATCTTGCACGTGTGCCAAGCTTCTTTTGTATGCATAACAGATAGCATAACCTCTCTGCGCATCTCTAGCGCAACTTCCAAATTGCCGCCAAAAATCCTGACCATCCAATTTCCTGACAATCTCGATGCTGGTTTGTGGATCGATGGTGCTTGTCGTCGAAGTAAACTACGACATGCGCATGTCTCACATGTTTGCCAGTATGTCATTGCCTTGTTGGCCGACCCTCATGTCGCCAACACCAAGCATGCTCAACACCTACACAATGCTATGTTTCGCCGGCTTCAACACGAACACAATACCCACCAAGATGATTACTCAGACCTATACCTTCGTGTAATAGGCGTTCAAGTACCAACTTTGCCTAAAGGACTGAAGTTAGGACCGTCAGTAGTGACTGTTGGTAGAAATGGAAGGATACCATTCCAAGTGGCAAATTTCACAGACAGAGACATGTATTTGAAGCCTCGAACACCAGTGGGAATACTTAAACCACCAGCCTGACCTTGTCACAGGTGCGCTACTCCTACATGGAGATGATGAGGGGGGGATTGACACCAGCAGATCCCTTAAAAATAACAAGCAAGTGGGACCCAGTTCTTAGGACCCGATTGCAGGCCTGGGCAGTCAAGCGAGTGTTTGAAGTCGTTTCAAGGATGACCTTGGAGCCACCACTGAAGCCGGGAGCAGGCTACCTGGAGGCAGAGATAGAGGCAGAGCCTGACTTGAACGAAGAGTTCATCCCCTCTGACTATCATACAAAAGACTTGTACCTAAGACTGCTCTCTTGGGTTGATGGTTCTGCAGTGGGCAGATTCGAGGTGGCACTGAATCTCAGCTACCTCTCTGTACTCCACAACAAAAACGAAGGAGACCAGAATCATTCAAATTTCAAGATACTTAATAAAATAATCAGGCTGGAGGACAAAATGAGAGAGGTGAGGCCCGAACATCTAGGGAAAAGGTCCCCTGACCTGACAGACATCCATGTTCACGAGTTCAACAGGAACATTTGCCTGCTCCAGAGTGAGGTCATAGGTGAATTCCTAGACTCTGGTATACCAGGGNGAACTTTGCAAATGTGGTGGGGAAGGCGACAGCTGTACAAACATTACACCACCAATGGTTGGCGAAGATCTAGAAGATGATTGAAGCAATGACAACTAGTAACTCCTGATTCATACATGTAGCATTGTCGTACCTTTAAAAAAAATATCCATCTTCAACTTATAAATTGAATTTTATATTGAATTACATCTTCTACATTATTTCTCTTAAGTGTTTTGGAGGATGGTAAAGAGTGTTCCAATCATAAATACGTTGTTATTATTGGAATCCTCATATGCCAACTGAAAACATATGGTTAGACACCAAAAAAATCTTCCAATGTCCATTGGTACAAACGTATGGCATTTTACGTAGAAAAAGCCTGAAATATGGTGGCCATCTTGGATTTTTGCTAATTTAGAGTATTTCGAGTGCTCTAATTTTGTTTCCAATGAATCTTTGATCTCTTTATATGAGTTTAAATAAAATAGAATAAATATTGTATGACATTTGAATGAATAGATTGGTTAATTGGAAATTATTTATAAAAA